TATTCTGAAAGTGGTATTTAGACTCCAAACCTGTGCTTTTTCTTCAAAGCTAAAATACAAACAGAAAGTGACAACTTAAAAACTGTATCTGATAACCAGAATTACACAGTTCAAGCATATTCACTTTTTGGTACTCACAAATTAAAAATAGAAACAAGCATGAACTTTAACTCCAAGTTCCCTTATCAAATCTCCAGGGCAGATTAAAAATCATGTCCTCTATTTGCTTCTTCCTTTGCACCTTCAATACAATAGAGAGGATTAAAGCTGAAGGTTAGTTCTTTGCAAAAATCTAACAAATGTGATAAACCTCTGATGAGATTGATCAAAAGTCACAAACTAAATTCAGGAATAAAGTAAGGAATATCATAGTAGATAACATACACCTAAAAATATATGGCTAATAAATACATTTATGGCAAATTTAAAAATTTAGATGTAATGGACAAATTTCTAGATAATTAAATTCCAGTTCAAAAAGAGAGGAAGGTGTTTGGCATAGCTGTTAAAATGCTCACCTCCCACATCAGAGTGCCTGATGTAGCACCAGCTCTGGCTCTGGATTTCAGTTTACTGCCAATGTAGACCCAGGGGGCAAATGATGGCTCAAGTGACATGGTCCCTGAGACCCACATGGGAAACTTGGATGGGTTCCTGGGTCCTAGCTGGCCTTGTCCAGCTCTGTTTGTTGTGAGCATTTGGGAAGAGAACGAGCAAATAGGAGCTCTCTGTCTCCCCGGGCCTGTCAAATTTTAAAAAATTTAGAACATTTTTTTAAAAATAGGAAATATGCAACCAGCATTGTGGCACAGTGGGTTAAACTACTGCCTGTGGTGCTGGCATCACATATGGGTGCCAGTTCGAGCCCCAAGTGTCCCGCTTCTGATCCAGCTCCCTGCTAATGCTCCTGGGAAAGTCCTTGAGAGCCTGTGCACCCACATCAGAGACCTGGATGAAGCTCCTGGCTCCAGCCTGGCCCAGACTAAGCTGTTGTAGCTATCTGGGGAGTGAACCAGCAGACAGATGATCTCTCTCTCTCTCTCTCTCTCTCTCTTTCCCTCCCTCCCTCCCTCCCTCTCTGTAACTGCCTTTCAAATAAAATAGATAAATCTTAAAAAAAAAAAAAAACCAGAAAATAGGAATAGTCCAATGATCATTGCAGAAATCTAATCAATCATAGAAAACCTTCCCGGCTGGCACCTCAGCTCACTAGGCTGATCCTCCACCTTGAGGCGCCGGCACACCGGGTTCTAGTCCCAGTCGGGGCGCCAGATTCTGTCCCGGTTGCCCCTCTTCCAGGCCAGCTCTCTGCTGTGGCCAGAGAGTGCAGTGGAGGATGGCCCAAGTGCTTGGGCCCTGCACCCCATGGGAGACCAGGATAAGTACCTAGCTCCTGCCAATGGATCAGCGCGGTGCTCCGGCCGCAGCGCACTGGCCACGGTGGCCATTGGAGGGAGAACCAACGGCAAAGGAAGACCTTTCTCTCTGTCTCTCTCTCTCTCATTGTCCACTCTGCCTGTCAAAAAAGGGAGGGAGGGAGGGAGGGAGGGAAGGAAGGAAGGAAACCTTCCCACAAAGAAAATTCAGCCTTAAAGGACTTAAAAGTCCTACCAAACATTCAAGAAAGGGACACAAAACTACTATAAGACAGGAAAAGAATTATTCACCAAGTTATTTTATGAATTTTATGAAATACATTATAGTTGTTAAAATTTTAAAAGTTTTGTCCTGGAGATCAGGAGGTAAAAAAAGATGCTAGCTCTCCCTACTTTTTTTCAACAATGTATGGAAGGCCTAAATGGTGAAAAAAGAGAAGCAAAGACATCAAAAATGAAGAAAAGACAAAACAAAAATGTCATAATTCAGATTATAATGGTAGACATTCCCAAACAATTAAGATTTAAATTAAAATTAGTAAGTCTAGTAAAGCTACTGGAAGCAAGACCAAAGGTTTCTTGCATTCCTATGATGCCAGTAAGAGAAAAGATGACTAGAAAATTCAGATGAAAATACACAGAGCTAAGAACATATGAGGGTATCTCAAAAAGTTCATGGAAATGGGACTAAAAACAAATTCATGTTGGTGCCCAAAATTTTCAAAATTCGTGCATATACGGGCTCTTCAAAAAGTAATAGCAGTACATATTATGAAGAAATACATACATGGATTACACTTTTTTGAACTAACATAAAGCTTTATCTTTTAATTCCATTTTTCCAAAGTACCCTCATATAAGGCCTACTTAAAGAACAAGAAAGGATGACCTGGGTAATAAAAGAGTTTCTTTATGATCTCTGGATAGGAAAGTTTCTTAAGTACAACATAAAAGCACAAAAACTCCCTTCAACTTTAATAATTTTAACTACGTTAAAATGAAGAAAACTATATCCAAACATCATAAAGAAAAAACATAGTGCTAGAGCTGGAAAAGATATTTTTGTTTTATACAACTGAAATGGTCTAGTCTCCATAAATGGAACTTCTAAAACCTAGTAAGACAGACTACTCAGTTAAAAACAAAACAGCACACTAAAGTTTGAAATCAGATGCTCAGGAAAGATATTCAAATTGCAATAACTATAGGAAAAGGTTCTCAACTCCATTCATAGTGAAGGAAATGCAAATCCGAGCCATCTGATTAGCAGAAATTAAGTCTGACAAAATTTAGAGTGAATGGGACTTCAGAACCATGGAACTCTAATGCTATATACCTTTACCATGATTATTTCACTGTATTTACCCATTCTTTCTAATGAGGCAAAAAGATTTCTAGCTATGAAAAAAAAAATCCCACCCAGAAGTTACACTTTTTGTTTTAGCTCTTACGTTCCTAACACTTCTAGTAAATCATAAGTGATAAAAAGCATTTTATAAAACAGTGTGTTTTACTATTTGGATAGCCGTCACATCGTGTTATCAAATCAGTATTTGTCTATCCATAATTTTCACTAAATCATAGTTCTAGTCCTTAAAGTAAGGGTGCCCCACTTTAAGAATCATTTGGGGAACTTCTTTTCTATAGCAAGCATTTTTAGTTCAGTACTTTTAAGTATACCGTGTTACCCTCCTATTGGGCATGCATACTTTTTTTATACTTCCAACACTCAAGTGCATTGCAAGGTTCCCTGCTCAGCAGTTTATTTAGGTTGCTTTCTCTTTTTCTTGGTCATGAAATGTCAAGTTGTTTAGAATTCAGAATTAGACTCACACTTGTCTGTATAGTTTGTTTTCTAAAATACAAGTTTCATTCAGTAACTCACATTCTTTTTCCTTATTTCAGGTATCAGCAAAACTTTTCCATTAGGGTCAGATAGTAATTAGTATAAAAAGTTATAACTATTTAACAATGCTGCTGAGCACAAAAAGCCATAGATGATTAATGGCAGTAAGCAACTGTTGTGTTTTAAAAAAAAAATTGAGAAACACAGGTGGCTAGCAGACTGTGGTTTACCTCCTTTGCTTTATATTTTTAACCATAAGCAGATGCTTACTCCCAGATTTGTCACCTTGTGTCACTAATCCATTTAACCAGAACTTGACAAAGATCTAAGTTTCTCATATGTAAAAGAGGACATTCAAGGTCAATGCTCAAACCTAAGAAATAGTTATAAAGAAATAGTATGCATAAAATGCATACATAATGATCATTACTTAAGTATTATTTATAATAAAGAACTGGAAACAACTTTACAGGAATTTTCATTTTTAAAAAGTAAACTAGTGATAACTCTGCAAATAAACTCGATTGAGAAAAGGCAGACACACAAAGATGGGGTATTTTCCTAAGTGTAAGAAGGTAACTGAAACAATGCCTAGGACTTTGTATCATGGGAAACCATCTCAAAGAAGTAATAATGGAAATAGCAAGAGCTAATATTCCATGGGACTTTTTGAATTTGAAATTCTATTAAGTTTGTTGAAGAAAATTACTATGAAGGAAAACTGTAGCTAGTCTTAGAAGTCTAGCAGATAGCTGTTAGGTTGTCATCCATTTATAGTACATCAACACTGATTTTCAATAGTAATTATTGCTATTAAAATGCTCTTATGTAGGGGTCAATGCTGTGGTACAGCAAGTTAAGCCATGGCCTGCAGTGCCAGCATCCCATGTGAGCACTGTTTTGAGTCCCAGCTGCTCCACTTCTGATCCAGCTCCCTGCGATGCACCTGGGAAAGCTGCAGAAGATGGCCAGGGGGCCCTGGGCCTGTGCACCTATGTGGGAGATCTGGAAGAGACTCCTGGCTCCTGGCTTCAGCCTGGCACAGCCCTGAATGCTGCAGCTATTGGGGAGTGAACCAGTGGATGCAGGAACTCTGTCTTTCCTTCTCTCTCTTTGCAAACTATCTTTCAAATAAATAATAATTTTAAAAATTCTCTTATGTAATGTTTCATTTGATCTATAAGAATTTTATAAGTAATGATTTCTCCAATAAAACAGCCATTTCCAAGATTGTTTCAAATAACTCCAAACTTGAAAAGAGATGAAGAATTAAGCCATTCTCACTTTAAAAAATTCTCAAGAATGTATAAAAATATTCCCCTACAGAGGCTGGTGCTGTGGTGTAGCGGTAAAGCTGCTGCCTGCTATATGGGTGCTGGTTTGAGTCCCGGCTGCTCCACTTCTGATCCAGCTCTCTGCTACAGCTTGGGAAAGCAGTGGAAGATGGCCCAAGTCCTTGGGCCACTGCACCCGCGTGGGAGACCCTGAAGAAGCTCCTGGCTTCAGCCACCTGGCCCATCTGGGGAGGGAACCAGCGGATGGAAGACCTCTCCCTCTCTCCCTCCCTCTCTCCCTCCCTCCCTCTCTCTCTCTCTGCCTGTCTTTAACTCTACCTTTCAAATAAATAAACCTTTAAAAAATACTCTCCTACAGTATGAAATTTCCACCTTTCATAAGAGCTATCTTTTTTTTAACAAAGGGATATGTGTTCAACACCTAAAAACTCATCTTCCCTGATTAATTCATTAATTAAATGGCATCAGTGAGGAGAGTCTTACCCCAAGAAAATTTTCACACGAAGTTCTTTTTTGGTCCTTGAGATTGTCTTCAATGTTGTAATTTCCGCATCAAACCAAAAACCTCTTTTTCCTGGATTTTCTACATTATAATTAACCATTACCACATCACCAACATTTAGTTCATTCCATTTTAAAATGGTTCTAGCTCGTGGTCGAAGATCCTTTACATTCATTTCTAGAGTACCACTTTCTGGATATCTGAGGAGAGAAAGAAAAAACCATAGAAAACAGATTATGATTATCACCAACTAAAATTATATACAATGTACAATACAATAAAACCTAATTTTCTCCTTAATCATTAAGGATAAAAATGTAAAGGTTTCAACAGCCTTAAACAGTGAATATATGAATATTTCTTATTGGCCTCTCACCTACATTAGGATAACATATGGACTGATTTCCTAAATGTGAGCATGAACTCTTGTCTTTACCCCTAAGCCTTAGAGATGTGACTCTCTTCATTGTTTGCAGAAGTGTTCATCCCATGGTCAAGATCATATCTGAGGGGGTTATACAGTACTTCTCTAGAACTGACTTTATGTGACATTTTTACTCAGACAATTATTACTACTATAATCTGGATATTCTGAATGAGAGATTTTTTATTTTCTTAATAACACTTAAATGACAGACAGTCATGATTTTAATTCCCAGAGTAAAACAATTCTTTTAAAGTAAGACATTCATTGGAAGGGGTAGAGGGTAAAAGACTGGTAAAAACAAATTTTTTGCTCAATATTTTTTTAACCCAAGTTTAAGAATTACTTTCACAGGACTCAATGTTAGCTTCTCCCTGACTTTGTAACCAGCTTATTGAGTTCTGTCATTTAGTTCATGCATAGTAAGAACACGAAGCTAGCATGTTCCAATAGCCTTCATTTTCCCAGGAAGAGAAAGATTCTACTTCTTACATATACCCAATCTCCCTAGCAATGTAAAACAAACCCCAAGTTTTCTATTTATCAGAAAGAAGAACCATGTAAGAGAATTGTACAGAATCTTGGTTTTATTCCTTCTAAAGCTTTAGGTTCGGTTCAAATTTAGATTTGAACAAACTTAAAGGAAATAAAGCTAACTTGGACCAGTCTCAGCTGTTATTGACATTTGGGGAGTGACCCAGCAGATGGGAACTCTCTCCCTGTCACTCTTTCAAATAAACAAAAACAAACAACAACAACAACACAATCTATTGAGGTAGGCAAACTACTAAAGCAGTGATTCTGAATATGTAGTCCCTAGACCATCATCATCTTGGAATATGTCAGAAACACATTCTTCAACTCTATTTCAGATCCTGAGTCACCAAGTCTGGAAACCAAGTCCAGCAATCTTTTTTAAATCCTCTCAGTAATTTCTAAGGTTGAGAACACACTGTGTAATAGGAATACAGGAATAATTAATTATCATATGCTTGTGTGACAGTATTCACAAGGTAGAGAACAAAGGAAGAAACCTTTAACCCTTAGACAACTAAGAATGATTTAGTCAAAATGAAAGTGAGCTTGAAGTTGGAAGCAGCTCTTGTAGGTAGTCATGATTCTTTCAAATCAAGAAAGAACTATGCAAGCCTAGGACTCTCATAATATAGCTAATTCATTTAGAATAAATAGATCCTAATCCTATGTGGGATTTCTAATTAATCACCTGATTTAATCAAGTCTCTGTCTTAGTTAATTAGGGGTAAAAAAAAAAAATCTCAGATTGGCAAGGACCTCAGAGACGATCTGGTCCATTTACCATGATTCTCTTCAACTAGCTTTTGAAAAAATCAATTAGCCTCTGCCAGTCAATGAGGGCATTTCTAACAGTAAGAAGTGTGGGGAGCAGCCCAGACTAGACTGAGTTACTGGAATTAAGACTTATTCTATGCATCTGCTCTCCCACAATATGGCGCTGGGAGAGAAGTAAACAGCTTCCGCACAGCTGCCTCCAGTTCAGCTAATAAACTGTAGGACTTGCTCCTGATTGGAGGAGAGCAGCGTACTCGGCGTGTGGGCAGCCGAGTTGGGATTGGCAGAGGAGGACTATAAAGGAGGAGAGAGACGGCATGCACCAGGAACATCTATGGGGAACATCTATGGGGAACATCTAAGGGAACCCGTGCAGCCCCCGAGAAAGCCGGCCGGCGGTGTGCCGCTCCCCTGCGGAAGTGGGGAATGTGGCCAGGGGGAACTGCCCTTCCACGGAGGTGGAAGGGATAGTAGCCAACCCGGGAAGAACCAGCAGCAAACCCGGGGAGGGCCGAGCAGACGAAAGAACAGCGCAGGGTCCTGTGTCGTTCCTCCACGAAGAGGGGGAGCGACATAATGGTGCCGTGACTCGGATAGGAAACCTAGGACGGATAGAAAACTTAGGAGGGAAGAAACGTGACTCGGATAGGAAACTTAGGACGGATAGGAAACTTAGGAGGGAAGAAACGGGAAGAAGTGGAAAATATTGGAGAGAGAGACTAGCAAACAGCCTAGGGAAAAGCCGGACGAAAAAGGTGCCGGAAGAAGTTATTGAAAGCCTAGGCACAGACTCGGATGCGGACTGTGGGGAGAGGCCAGGAGAAATGAGGGAGGAGTATTGTTGGAGGAAAGCTTGGGGAAACATACCGGGTAGAGAAAAGTGTTAGGGAAATTGAAGCCGCGGGGGGCAGGCCAAGGCGGACACGAAAGCCACTTTGGGGTTCTCAAGTTAGCCCGGGAATAGGGGGCGAAAAGTTGAAACCAGAAGCTGAAACGTGAGCCAGATTGGGGTCCGTCTGATTAGCCCGGGGAGCAAAGGACGGGAAGCCAAACCGTGGGGCGGAGACGTATGCTGGGTTGAATTCGCCAGGCTAGCCCGGGGAACTTAGATTGAATGCTAGTGGCGGACACGTAAGCTACACTGTGTTACTCGCGGAAGCCGCCGCGTGCAGAGAGAGCACGGGGCGTGAATAGATAGGGAACGGGGCTGGCGTAGGCCGTGGTGCAGACGCGAAGGGCGTGGAGACCGCGGAGCGCGCGAAGCCAAGCCGCGCAAAGCCGGGAAGCCGCGCAGATGAGAGAGGCGTGGGCTGAAGCGGCTCAGAGCCGGAAAGCTGCCGAGAAGTAGCCTCGGGGCGGGCGCAGCCGGGAAGCCGCGGGGATAAGAATGAGAGCGGGAAGCTGCAGGGATAAGAGAAATAGAAGTTTAGAAATAAAATGAGAGAAATAAGAATGCTGGGAGATAGAAGTAAAATGGGAGAAATAGGAATGCCCAGAGATAGAGAAATAGAGAAATAGAAAGGCCTCCCCTCAACATGGCAACGAGAAAGTTTGGATTCGGTTTGCCCGATTAGTGAGGCGATGAGCACCTGGGCGGCTAGCAGCTTATGCGCCGCAGGTCACCGAAGACAGGCACGAATTAACATCAGTAAGGCCTCCCCACAAAAAGGCAATGAGAAGGCTTGGATTCGGTTTGCCTGATAGAGCTTGTAAGCCCCTGCAGGCAGAGCAGAGCATGCGCTGCAGGGCACCGAACACAGGCACGCATCAGCGCCTAAAAACCTCCTCACAACATGGCGAAGAGAGGACCCGGATTCGGTTTGCCTGATTGATAGGACTTGTAAGAGCCTGTGGCAACTCTAGCAAGTAGAGCAGAGTGTGTGCCGCGGGACACCGAAGACAGGCGCGTATCAACGCCAAAAATAAAAAGAAAGGGGGATCTGTGGGGAGCAACTTGGACTAGACTGAGTTACTGGAATTAAGACTTATTCTGTGCATCTGCTCTCCCACAATATGGCGCTGGGAGAGAAGTAAACAGCTTCCGCACAGCTGCCTCCAGTTCAGCTAATAAACTGTAGGACTTGCTCCTGATTGGAGGAGAGCAGCGTACTCGGCGTGTGGGCAGCCGAGTTGGGATTGGCAGAGGAGGACTATAAAGGAGGAGAGAGACGGCATGCACCAGGAACATCTATGGGGAACATCTATGGGGAACATCTAAGGGAACCCGTGCAGCCCCCGAGAAAGCCGGCCGGCGGTGTGCCGCTCCCCTGCGGAAGTGGGGAATGTGGCCAGGGGGAACTGCCCTTCCACGGAGGTGGAAGGGATAGTAGCCAACCCGGGAAGAACCAGCAGCAAACCCGGGGAGGGCCGAGCAGACGAAAGAACAGCGCAGGGTCCTGTGTCGTTCCTCCACGAAGAGGGGGAGCGACAAGAAGTCATTTTGTGGGGCCAGTGCTGTGGTATAACGGGTAAAGATGCAGTCTGCAGTGCCAGCATCCTATACAGGCACCAGTTCAAGTCCCAGCTCCTGCTGCTCCACTTCTAATGCAGCTCTCTGCTATGGCCTGGGAAAGCAGTAGAAGATGGCCCAAGTCCTTGGTCCCCTGTACCCTCATGGGAGACCCAGAAGAAGTTCCTGGCTTTAGATCAGCCCAGCTTCAGCCGTTACAGCCATTTAAGGGAATGAACCAGCGGCTAGAAGACCTCTCTCTCTCTGCCTCTCTGTAACTCTGCCTTTCAAATAATTCAATGTTAAAAAAAAAAGTTATTCTATCTTCATAAAGTTCTGAAATAGGAGAGAAGAAATTTGATATAGGATCAAAAGTAAGCTTTTGGAATTCATTCTATGCCTTAGTTCCATAAAGAAATCTATACTCTCTTTACAACACACCTAACACTTGACACTCTAAAAGTGCCTGTCATCCTCAATCTTCTCTTCCAATAAGTTTTTTTTAGATTTTATTTATTTATATATATATTTAAAAATGTATGTATGTTTAAAAGGCAGAGTGTGAGAGAGAGAGAGAGACAGATATCCACTGTTCACTCCCCAAGTGGCTGCAACAATCAAGGATGGGCCAGGGCAAAGCCAGGAACATGGACTCCATCCAGGTCTCCCACATGGATGGCAGGGACTCAAGTACTTGGGCTATCCTCTGCTGTCTTCCCAGCACATTAGCAGGAAGGTGGAATGGAAGAGCAGCCGAGACTGAAACCAGCATTCTGATATGGGATGCCAGCATCACAAGCAGCAGCTGAACCCACTGCACTACAACACCAGCTCTATTAAAAAATTAATTTCCTTCAACTCATGTGAAAGGTTTGAATCTGTTTATCATGTTGGTATCTTCACTCACAGTATTCTATTTTCAGCCTGTCTAGGTTTAGATCCCCAGTGTAGCTTCTTCCTATGATACATCCCTGGGAAAGTTACTAAAACTGTGATTATTCCTCAACTATAAAATG